AAGACGAAGCTGGAGCAACGGCGCTGCAGGTAGGTACCTCTGGCCTCCGCCCAAGCTCTCTCTCTCTCTCTCTCTCTCTAGTACTACCTAGCTATGGCGCCCAGCGTTGGAGACTACAGCTACCTACTGCGCCCAGCGCTGAAGACTACTAGCTAACGCTACCACTACTACAACGCAGCGCTCCCTCCAGAGTGCTGCACCCGAATCCTGAAGACTACAACTACCAACTGCCTACCTCGGAAGTGCCTGGGAAGTCCTATGTACTACCTCGGCCTGCCTCCTGACTGTTGGAGGCCAGTCAGGCCGAGGAGGCAGCTCTTGCCAATGCCGAAATGTGCAAGGGGCTGGCGTGCAGCAGCCTGCTTGAGGCTGGCGTGGGAAACAGACTATTAATAGTCTGTTCCCGAAACCCTGGTTCGGTGCCTGAGTTTCAGGGCCGGTCGTTCTGATGAACGACCAAAAATGGCCCTTCGTTTCAGGCTAAAAAGGCTGTTGCCATTTTTAGTCTGAAACGACCAGGGATAGGCCCTGGACTTCAGGCTTTTGGCCTGAACCGACAGGGGGCCTGTAAGCCCTGGATTTCAGGCTTTTGGCCTGAAGTTCAGGATTTTGGCCTGAAGTTCAGGCTTTTGGCCTGAACACCGTCGGGCCTGCAAAATGGTCGTCGGGCCTGCAAAATGGCCCGTGTGTGCACGCGCTGCATGTAACACCAAAGCCCTAGCACACAGGATAGGGGATCTCACGGACAAATGCTTTCACATAGACCAAACCGGGTTTATCCCACAACGTATTAACTCTAAACGAAGCAGCGAGGAAGGTAAGGGAGAAAAGAATGAACACAGCACTTATGTTTTTTGATTTCGAGAAAGCATACGACCAAGTGAACTGGGTCTTCCACAACGCTAGTATGGAAAAATGGGAATAGGACCCAACTTCAGAAAGTGGGTCGGGATTTTGTACAGTGACGCCTCAGGATGTGTGCAAGTCAACGGACTGATTTCAGAATGACACCCGATCTCCAGGTCAGTCCGTCAAGGAGATCCACTTGCTCCACCGATCTTCCTATTCGTTATGGAAGCGATTGCCTCCTTTCTCCGTAAGGACCCTTCAATTCAGAGGTTACCAGAGCTAAACACTGGCACGGCTCACCATATACAGTTCCCAACAGTGATTATGTTCGCAGACGACCTCACGGTCCTTATAAGAGCGTCTGATTCCTCGGTAAAGGCATTGGTCAGAGCAATGGAAGCCTTCAGGCTAGCATCAGAAATGAAGATCAACTGGAAAAAGACAGTTGGATGGTGGATATCGGAAGAAGTCATACCCGCAATGGTCGGACCTGAGTCAGAAATGGCATGGGAAAAACCGGAAGATCCCACAAGATACTTGGGAATTCTGGTCACCAAGGACGGCCCTGCTCCACAAATGGCACAGCACCTCCTCACCAAACAAATCAATAGAATGGGACGTTGGGGCAATWCATTCACCTCTCTACTAGGACGATCCCTAACCATCAATACCTCCATCTTCTCGATGATGTGGTACATTGCGTCCATCTGGACAATTCCCGACCAAACCGTCAAAGAACTTGATAGTAAGGCCAGGGCTTATCTGTGGGCAGGGGACCCCAACAAGACAAAATACATCCCCAAGATAGCCTGGCACTATATAACAAGGAAACCATCTAAGGGAGGACTAGGGATAGTCGATCCTAAGCAGGAAACAAAAGCCCTCCAGATCAAATGGATAATTAAGCTACTAACCCAACCAAGGCTGGCATGGCACAAACTAGCGCTGGACAGCGTAAGAGCCATAGCCCTAGTACAGAGGCCGTCTAACATGTCAGACCTATTCTGGGTGATGAACAAGGAATGGAAGCCGAAAACAGGCAGGAGGAGACGGACGTCAAATGTACCCGGGAATGAAACGGAATCCTCTACCCCATACTGGACCGCTTATCCGCATATTGAGAGAAGTCATGCCAAAGAAGGTAATCAAGCCAAAATCCAAAGAGGAAGTCCTGCGCCAACCCCTGTTCGGGAATCCAGGTGTAAGGGATGCAGGGGACCATACACTGTCTCTAGCAAATGGCCAGCGATGGCTTTCATGGGTCCGGCAGGGGGGGTGGAGGGTGAGTCACATATGGGATGAAGAGAAAAAAGATTGGATTGATGAGGAACGGTTAAAATCACTTCTAAAGGGGTGTCACCATCGCGATGAAAACTTGGTAACAGTAACAAACAGTATCCCAGACAGCTGGAAAGATCTGCTGAAAGAAAGGCTTTCCTGGAAGCCAGGGGAGTGGGGTGTGCTAATTCAGGAGACGACACCACAAAGGGCTTACCAATTCTATCGCAGATCGGCAGGCCCAATGTTCTCAGAATCTTTCACATCCTATTCGATCGACCACACCAACCCCAAATCCCCATCCATCCACAATGCTGACCCACAGGAATCGGTCCTAAATTCGTTCACACTGCGGAAAGTAAGGGTATTAGGTACCTGGCCAAAACAGATATTCCAAATGGAAAATGCGATCCAAGACCTCGAATTCGATCTAGAGGAATGGTCATGGTCCTCAGCTAATAATAGATTATACAAAACCCCTATTCATATCATGCAATACACAGTTAAAATGGGGTACAAGATGCTGCTAAAAACCAAGGACCCAGAACCGGTAATCAAAGAGAGATGGAACAAACTACTAGGACAGAGAATGGAACCAATCGCGGAAGTGCCCTGGAAGAAATATAAATCAATGTGCCCAGTCAAAATCAGAAGTCTCCAATGGTTAATCACCTACAATGCCCTTCCAGTAAATACATGGCTACATATCCGAAGGAAGAACAGCGACCGAGACAGCTCAGAAAAATGTCTAGTATGCTCAGATAACGAACAGGAAGATCTCATACATTGCCTAATAACATGCAAATTCGCTACTGACCAGTGGGCCAGAGCCTCAGTACTCTGGGACCATCTATTTCTATCTTCCCTCCCTGAACATCCAATCCAACTACTTTCTTTGGACTAACATCCCAGCCCAATTTAACAAATCTGAACGCATCTGGTTCGGTATAATCAGGAAGGTGACGCTCTGGGTCATATGGAAAGAAAGATGCAGCAGGACCATAGAAAAATCCAGCAAGGCGTGTGAGCAGGTGTGGACAACGATGAAACTGATGATGGAAACAGAGATTCGGTGTCAGTGGAAGAAAGTCAAAGTTTCAATCCAGCAGAATCCGGAAAAGCAGCATGCACTGCTTCTGAAGTTCAAGGAGGTGTGGCTGGTCGGGGGGAAGATAGCCGACATTACCGACCTGCAGATCAGATGGAAAGACTGGCATAACTCGGCCAACCGACAGGGTTTAAACAGCGAGCGCAGGCCCGAACAACAAGACTTCAGAGCCACATGAGGCGGACCAAGATCCAATCTATGTTTATTTCTGTTGTCCTCGCATTAATTGTTATAGCTGACAGGTTTCCATGTGGAACTTGAGAGGGAACTCAGAGATAGGCAAGCTGACAGTCAATCCTCCTTCAAGGAGTAATCAATGCTGGTCAGGGTTCCTTTGGCCGTACGGAAGGAAGCGTGAGTGTGTACCAGATTGTATGCAATTGTGACTTGCCGGGGGAATAGGAACCGGACTGACGCTCCCCAGAATGGATATGGAGCCAGGACCATAAGGACCTGTTAAAAAAAAAAAAAAAAAAAAAAAAAAAAAAAATCGAAATTTCCAAAATTAGTCGAAAATTTTGAATACACCGTATGTACGTTGTATTCGAACACAACGTATGTATGTTATATTCGACCGTACGTTCTATTCGGGAAAAAAAAAAAAAACAGCGATTTCTGGGGACCCGTTTTTCAGAGGTGAGTTGAATAGATGGTACGCACGTTTTTTTTTCGGGTTAATTCTTTTCGCACACTATGACAAGCACCAATGGAAGCAGGGTTTTGTCCATTCTGAGAGGTTCGATATGGGTTTTGCCGTTTTGTCATTTGATTTGGGTTGTTCATGCCATGTCCTACCTCTGGGATTCCAATGTTATATGTCCCTCGACTTGGATTGCGTCACTTATTCATGTCATGTCCTACCTCTGGGATCACAATGTTATACCACGAGTACGTTACCCAGCCATTTTTCGCCGGCGTGGCCGTTGACGCACTGCTACTTTCTGGGCGTACCCTACTGGAGCGATATAGCTTGTGCCAGTGCGTTTTTTTGGCGAGCATATCGTTTGTCGTGTCGGCAAGGGAAGGGTCGTAAGTACTGGTGGTTTAAGGGTTTAAGGGTTTAAGGGGAATGAGGAGTCTTGGTTTTGGCAGGAGGATCAGCTCTCAACTGATTTGATATTATGGGTGTGTCCCATGTGTATGATGTGCAGGCATTTGGTGGAGACTCTTCCTGTGCTGCACCTCTGGGGTCCCTCATACAAGTGCTTTTTTCGCAAACAATCCAGTTGCTAAGGGATATCAAGGTAAGAGATGCTGTGCACTTGGCCGTGGACCTGTCCAATGCAATTGCGCAAGAACATTACACATCAAATCTGGACTGGATTGTTGTTGATCAGACAACCGGAACTTCCCTGTAGTTTGTTTTGACAATGTGCTGTCACGTCTTGCCAGGTGAGCGCATGCCTGTTCCCCGTTTGTGCTGTTGAAACGAAGCATTTGCTATCTCTAGAAAGAATGTGACGGGGGTTTACTATGATGGAGGAATCATGACGGCAGGAAGATGACTGGAATTGCATTTGCCAGTGAACGAAGGACGGGAGAGAGAGAGAGAGAAGGAGGAGGGGGGAAAGCATGGAAGAAAGCGAAGAAAGGAGGTATGGGAACAGAGTGAGAGGGGCATGGGGGACACAGGGTGTGTGTGTGTGTGTGTGTGTGTGTGTGTGTGTGTGTGTGTGTGTGTGTGTGTGTGAG